ACCCCCCTCTAAAAAAAAAAAAAAAAAAAAAAAAAAAAAAAAAGTCTAGGTGTAATGAATTTCAAAAATCTATACATTTAATAGTGAAACAATTCATTTTCACTAGAATTTTATAAAACACTTTCTTAGTTTTAGGATTCTTAAAAGGATTGTGTATATGTGTGTACATGTATGTGAACCTGAGTACAGGTTCCCACAGAGGCCAGAGGTGTCCAGATCCCTCTAGAGCTGGAATTGCAGGTGTTTGAGCTGCCTGATGTAGGTACTGGGAATTGAATTCGGGTGTCTTCTGTGAGCAGAATGCACTGTTACCCACTGAACCATCTTCCCAGGCCTTTAAAACATCACCGTGCAGATGCTTATGGCAAGTATACTACTACATATGTGCAGATCATTCGACAACAATAGGGTTACGTTCTGAGGAGTGTGTCATTAGCTAGTTTTGTTGTATGAACCTCATAGATTATATTTAACACAAACCTAGGTGATATAGGCAAATCTCTCTATATGGTCTCTTGATACAAAAAAGGGAAAGGCTTATATGGTTGTATGAGACTTCTGCCAATGTGATATGACAGACTGTTTCATAGTAAAATTTTTTAAAATAAGCAAACCAGTGGTTAAAAGTGTAGTGTAAATGCGTAAACCATTATCACGTGTTCAGCATTGTATTTAATTGTACATGCTGTACTTTTGTATGATCAGCTATGCATCAAGACAAACTGGATGGTGCATTGGAAATTTCACAGTAGCCAGAGTCATTAGGTGGTAAGAAATTTTTAGATTTGTTAAGATTTATGGGACGTCTGTCTTAAATGTGGTTTGTGGTTGATTACAATGTGCTACTCACAACTGTTTGCCCAAAATGTAGGCTTTTTAAAACATTAGAAAATTGAAGTAAGGTGCTGAGAACATGGCTCAGTGGGTAAGGTGCTTGCTGTGCAGTCTTGAGGACTGGAATCTGGATCCCCAGTACCACTTAAATGCTGGATGGGTGTGGTGACTTGCCTGCAATCCTAGCACTTGGAAGGCAGAGGCAGGGAGTCTCCACAGCACTCTGGCTAGTTAGACTAGCCAGGTCAGTGAGCTCTGGGTTCAAGTGAGAGAGCCTCCCTCATACATATGGTGGAGGTTAAGGAAGATACTCAGTGTCATCCTCTGTCCTACACACACACACACACACACACACACACACACACACGCACGCACGCACACACACACACACAAACACACACACACACACGCACGCACACATGCATTCATTCCACACATTCTCATGCCAAAGGAAAAAAAAAGGAAGTTAAAATTGACAGAAAAAGGAAAAAATGAGTGCTTTTTGTTCTTTTTTTATTTTGCAGAATGATTCATTCCTTATTGAAGGCTTATTGAGAATTGGTTATAAAATAGAAAATGTAAGTGTTACGTAACAGAACCCAGTACACGCACTGCAAGTGAATGACGTTATCTCACTGCTTGTTTCCCAGATGATAAGTCCATATACTCAATATTTTACATGTAGTAATTGGTGATACTGATTTCCATTTATTATATAAATATTTTACAGATTATTCTTCTCTTCCTAAAATGCATATATGTAGTATAATTTTGAGCCTCTTTTATGAGTTACTCATTTTATCTTTATTTACCTGACATAGTCCCCTAATGAAATTATTAGGTCCTTGGTCTGAATAGCTTTTATATGTAACTGCTAGGTGATTTTTTCCAGATGCATGATAAGCCAATCTGTAATGTTACTGAAGATAGAAATATCTACATGTTATCTTTAAGTCAGATGCCAAATCAATATTGGCAACTCAACTGTTTAATTTCTGAAGTTATCTCAGATTTTGTGGAAATGAATGTTCTGTGAACTCTTGATGAAAATCATTGCACTGATTGCCCACGTGCCCAGGCATTCCCACCTGTCAGGATTTGTTGCCACAGGTCACGTGGCCTCTGGTGAACATTAGCGTATACCTTTAAAGCTTGGGGTAAGGACGGAATCTGGTTTCTGTAAGACCTGAGAATCCTCATCTGTCTCACACCTACATTCTCCTGCTGTCTTGGTAGTCCGTCGGCCAGGTTGCAGAGCCCAAGTTCCAGGTCTGTAATCACTGCAGAAGCATCTTGAGCTCTGAGTACAGCAATAGGTCCCTTGAAGCTGTGCGTGAGTCTGCAGTTCCTATTGTTAACACGAATGTTGAAGTCCCCTTGTTCTCCACTGCATGATGGAGGAATGAAAGTAAGGACTGTACACGTGTGTTAAGGGTCTGATACGCTGTATTAGGCCGATTCATGATACCACATGTAAATTTGGAATTAATACACACATCCTCTTCTTCCTCTTTTGAAACAGAAAATCTTGGCAATGGAAGAAGCTTTAAACTGGATAAAATACACAGGCGACGTAACAATTCTACCTAAATTAGGATCAGTTGACAGTTGTTGGCCTATGTTAAGTATTTTCTTTACCGAATGTAAGTGTTTTAAATGTTAACTCAGTTTTTAAAAATATTATTTTGGAAAATGAAATGTGTACTTAGGTAGTCTATCTTAGAACTAAACAGTGTTTTTTTCCTTTCTGGTGCGATACCTGAATAAGAGATTTTAGCCTTGTAGTTAGTCTTGTGCTCTTCCCTGTCCACTGCTTTGTGTGGCATCATACTTGAAAGCTTGTTAGCGGATCTCGTGCTGTTATGTATAATGCTCAAAAGATGAGCCCAGGCCAGGTGTGGTGGTGCACGCCTTTGATCCCAGCACTTAGGAAGCAGAGGCAGGTGGATCTCTCTCAGATGGAAGCCAGCCTGGTCTACATATGAGTTCCATATTAGCTGAAGATGCAGGGAGACCCTGTCTCAAAAACAAAAAACAAAACGAAATAAAGAGCCCACAGTTGTGGTTTTCATGCATTGCTATTCATATTCATGTGCCTACATATTTCTTTTATTTAAAAAAAATTTTTTTAAGGCATTTGAATATTAGCAATGTATAGTGTAGTTAACAGGAATTGTGAAACGGGAAATGCAGGGCCGGAGAGACAGCTCAGCAGTTATGAGCACTGACTGCTCTTGTAGAGTTTTCGGGTTTGAGTCCCGCACCCACATGGCGGCTAATAACTGTCCAGAACTCCAGTTCTGGGGATTCAATGCTCACTTCTGACTTGTGTGGGCATTACTCGACGTGGGTACACTTACACATATGCAGGCAATACACTCATACACATAAAATAAAAATAATAAAATACTGAAAAAAGAAATAGGGAATGCTGGCTCTGTAATAGATGGTGAACAGAAGTGTGTCCTGAGAAGAGGGCACATTTACGTCAGTACTCTAGAGGAGTCAGGTAGACACACCTTTCTGTAGGTTACTAGACGCCAGGGTACATCACAGCTACTGTGGTCTGTTCTCATCATTGTTACAAAGTAGGTTTAAGTAGACATAGAGAAGAAGTTACCATGTACGGGCACCAGTGTGGGCTCATTTCTGACGTGTTCTGCAAGGTGATTGTAGTCTGTTTTAAGGGGTTGCCTGGTCTTCCTCAGTCTAGTAATTAGTAGAACCTAGACAGGAACTCACCTAGGTTCTTCCCAGAGCCTTGTGTGAATCTTAAATTTTAAGTATTCCATGGGGCTGGACAGATGGCTCAGCAGTTACGAGCACTGACTGCTCTTGCAGAGGGCCCGGGTTCGAGTCCCAGCACCCATATGGCAGCTACAAATTGTCCTTTACTCCAGTTTCAGGGGAATCTGAAGCCCTCTTCTGACCTCTGTGGCATTGCACGGCATGGCACGGGTGCAACTCACATACATGCAGGCAATACACTCATACACATAAAAAAATTTTCTTCAAAAATTTTAAGTGTTCCTTTCATCTTGGGAATTAATGTTTGGCTAGATAGAAGCTTAACTAGAATTTTGTTGCAGTAATTTTTAAACCCTATTTAAAAAACACTCTATATCAGCTTAAAGCTCAGAAAATAAACCTTTGGACACAGTTTGGTTAGATACTGCATTTTAATTCGTTTACTACATTTTTGTTAGAATAGTATTTCAGTAACTTTTCATTAGCATTTTATTTGTGAAGCCAAATATTAAATACTCACATGCTTCATGTGTTATATTAAGTACATTTTAGAACAGTTTCCCAGGTTTTGCTTTTATGCATTTTTATTGAATTGCACCTGGCACATTGAAGGTATTTTATAATATTTGTTGACTTCACTTCAGTAATTATGAGACCTAATCACAATATGCTATGAAAATGCTATTATGTAGTAATAAGAGATTTTTTAAATTACTAGACATAAAAAGATTATATTCACTTCATAAAATGGTTTTATGTAACTTTTACTATATTTATTTACTTTGCTGTGGTGCTGGGGATCGAATCTAGTGCCTTCAGTGAGTTGGGTAATTGCAGTTCCACTGAGCTACATCCCTAGCCCCAGTTTTTTATTCTTTAAATATTTAGTACACATGAGAGATTACAAAAACATACAGGCAGTGAAAAAAGTTTAACGAATATTAGAGACAGCTATTTAACTTAAGCATTAGAATATTAACACCAGTTTGCTTTTTAAAACAAATATTCTCTTTTACTTTCTCCTAAAATAAATTTTAGACAAGTATCATATAACTAAAGTTGTAACGGAAAACTGCAATTTGCTTGAAGAGTTTAAATCTCAAAGGTGTATGGAGTGTATGCAGGTAAGGATAAATGTTTATCTGTAAATATATTTTAACATTTGTCTGTTACAAATTTTAATAGAGGGAGTGAAAAATAAAACTGTTAAAAATAAAATACAGAACTATCATAAATTAAATAACATTTCAGGGAGAATATTAATTCTGATTTGAAGAAGTGGGTTTTTTTTGTTGTTTTTTTTTTTTTTTTAATTTTTGGAGACAAGGTCTTTCTATAACCCCAGCTGGCCTGAAACTGGCTATGTAGACCAGACTGCCCTCGATTTCCTAGAGATCTGCCTGCCTCTGCCTCTGCCTGAGTGCTGGGTTAAAGGTGGGCACCACCACGCACAGCTTTTAATACAGTTAAAAAAATTTAGGAAATTATTTAATGTTTTATCTCTAAAGCTATTGATAATCATTTTCATTAATTTTTAAAGATTTGAGTGTCTGAAGTTTCGATTATATAGTATCTTTCATATATATTCTTGCTAACTTGCATATATATTCTTTACAATTAGTCAACATTGCCTGTGTGTTACTTATTTATATATACACATACACATAAGTACTAAGGGTTATTGGATAATACCACACTTGATAACCTAAAGCTAAAATTTTGATCTACCATACCTTATGGATAAACTATATTTAAAAGTGTGCTTATAAAATACACAACAGGAGATTATTTTAGTTACTATAATGTGTTGGTTTGAGCTCCAAATTCAATGAGAGACTTTGTCTCAGGGGAATAGGGTGGAACACACAGCAGAGGGCCCCGGCTTCCTCCTCTGACCTCCACATATGCCCACCAGGGCACATACACTCTCCAGTACACACATACACACATGCACACTAGGTAACATACATGCTTCTATGCTCTCTACATTCCTGACAATTTACAGTGCAATGTAATCTTACATACATAGGTTTTACTGTATTTTTCAGAGGATAATGACCACAAAAAACTCTGCACATGCTTAATGTAGCTTGTTTTCCCCAATATTTTTAATCTGGGTAGGATTTAATCTGCAGTGCAGAAACCATGGATGTGGAGCCACAACTGAATGTACCAAAGTACTGGCAAGTCCGTTCTTACTTTCTACAGAAGTAATCCTTGAGTTACTCTGATACCAGTGATAGAAGCTCAGATCCATTTCTCCTAGGTGTTGGGTTCTTGGTTGTCTTTGGAGCTAATTGATGGGTCTTCTTTCACCTTGGTTTCTCAGCAAGGAGAGCTAATGAAAACGAAAGGAAATGAAGAGTTTTCCAAACAAAGATTTCACATAGCTATTATCTATTACAGCAGAGCCATTGAATATAGGTAAGAGCAAAATCAAACACAGACTTTCTTTTTTATGTGGCAGATCAAGTGAGAAGATCAGGACAGACAAAAGCAAGAGGAGGGTTATAGACGACTGTTACAGACGAGGGTTACAGATGAGGGTTGGGTTAGAGATGAGAGTTATAGATGAGGGTTATAATGATAAGGGGTTAGAGACAAGGGTTGTAGATGAGGGGTTATAGAGTATCTTCCAGTTTGCGGTGGAGAATGGAATTTCTCATCTTTAGGTAGTGGTGTAACCTGAATATATGGCACCAGTCACATAGTGTAACTCAACCACGTCAAGCAAGAGAGTGAATCTGCTTTTTTTCTGCTCTACTTTTCCCCATATTTTCAGCACATAGTCTATTTTGTCTGTTCTCGACTAGTTCCTCATATTTAAGATGTCATTATTCGCCAGGCGTGGTGGTGCACGCCCTTAGTCCCAGCACTCGGGAGGCAGGGCAGGTGGACCTCTATGAGTTCAAGGCCAGCCTGGTCCAGCTGGGTACAGGGAAACCTTGTCTCAAAAAGACTGAGGAGGGGGGGTGAGTGGGGAAAGTCACTATTTGGGACTTTCTTAGAACTTTGAAGGAAAATAGTTGTGAAGTTGTGATTCTTGAAAGTGAATGTGTGTGTTCTCTACGCCTCACTCCTGTCCAGCTGTAAGCACTTTCTGTAGCCTTCCGCCAGGTAGCAGCTTTTAGAGGATGCTGTAGTCGGCTCCCTTTCCTAACTCCTTCATCTCCTTGGGGAGTAAGAGAAAGCAGTTGTGTGCCACACTAAAGACTGCTGCCCTACTCTATTAAGGAAGGGGTGGGGGAAGACCGTCTGTCTACACGTTATCAGACAAAGCTAAAATGAACAGAATGTGAAATGAGTGAAGTTACTGTTGCCATTCCCAGGCTGCTTTTGTCTTGAGTTCTTTGTCAAGGTGCCTGACTCACATATCACATAAGTGATTCTGGTTTCTACAATTACAGCAGACTTTGTAGTTGGCTAGCTTTCTAGGTGGGCATTATTTAATAATTATGACCTAATCCTCAGAGCAGTCTTAGGAAATAGATACATCAAAAATTATCTTCATTTTGAGTACAGGATAGTTTAGATTGGTTTGGACTCGGTACTGAGGAAGTCAAGGAACTGAGTTAAGGCTGAGTTAAGGTTCCTGTATTCTTTCTGCTCTGCCACATAGATGTAAAGTTCTAAGTTTTTTAAATGTCTTATATTTTCAATGTGATTTTTGTTTAACATATAATATGCTTTACTGACTAAATATTGCTTTTTTTAAGACCTGAAAACCACCTTCTTTATGGTAACCGAGCTCTTTGTTTTCTTCGTACTGGACAGTTTAGGTAAGTTGCTTCAAGTGCCCTACCCTCTGAATTATTATGCTTAGTATCCATTTTGGGGAAACATTTCTGTTTTTCAGGCATTGAAAAGAATAATCAAACAAAAAAACCCAAACCAAAAATCCTGAATAATTCTTTGTCTGAGATAGTTAAATGGATAAAAATAGAGGCTTTATTTATAAATGACTGGCAGAGTACAAGCATGTCATGCATTGTTTTAAAAGCTTCACATGTTACTCAAGTCTCACAGCACCCCTAATAGGTATGTTAACATCATTCCACACATTTTACCCATGAACCAACTCATACCACTGGTGCATGGGGATGCAGAGATTTGAACACAGATCATAGGTGGTGATACAAAGTCTTTGTAACATCTATAATGTGCCCCGTCCTTTTGCTCTATTTAATCTGCATAGTGAATTTTTGCTCTTTATTTGTCTTGGTATAAAAAATTAATATCCTTATAAGTGAAAGAATGCACAGAAATTTAATGGGATTAACAGAATAAAGTCATTTAGTTCTATATTGAATTTGAACTTTTATCAGTTGAGAAAAATTGAAAAAGACTCACTGTAGTTTATTGCCCTTGATTTAAAATTTTTTGGTACATAAATTTTAAGTGTATATTGAATAATGTAGATTGTTGTATTTTATTATGTCCTACCTTAATCATAAGGTTAGGGTGGATCCAAGGATACATCAGTCAGTAGAAGAGTTTTCAGAATATAGCAAACTAGAAAACCGAGTTAGAGCCTGCGGTCCTCAGAACAAGGCTGCCTAGCCTGGTCCCTCGCCTAGGTATTGGTTATAATTCATATTTGCCTTTGACCTTCTCATGTCTAAAAGGAAAAAAGAAACTTAAAAAGTCATGAAATTCTCATTGTTTGTGCATAAAGAAACAGTGTACAAATTGCTTGGGTGAAAGTATTTTTCTGGTGTTTAATAAGAAATGTCCTATGTGGATTATTAGTAATGTTAATAGAGTGATAGAGAAAAATTCCAGAAACATTGGTAGTCATAGGAAAAAAACTGAAAAATGCAGTTTTGGGGTCACAAGTAAGTCTTTCTGTGAAGTCATGAAGGCTGAGAAGGCCTGATAGCAGTTGTTTAGTAAAAGCATTTGTATTGGGATGTGGGAGGGGGGCATGGGGAAGGTGTAGTGTCTTCCAAGTATGTAGCTTTAAAAAAGTAACATTTATTGTGTTTCTCTTTTATTATAAACAGAACACATTCTCATGGTAGAAAATTTGGAAAATACAAGAGTTTAAAAAGAAGAAAATAAATATCACCAGTTACCCAACCACCTTGGAGAGTACCGCTGTATTAACGTTATGCAGCTTTTAGAGGGCTTAAGCCGTGGATAATCCGAGGCTATCTAGACTAGAGGAATGGATGGGCTTGACACAGTCTTCCATCAATACCACTGTTCTCAACTGGTTCTGACAAGAAATGAGCTACAAGTGTCTAGGGTATTGCTTCTGGCTAGGTCCAGAATTACAGATAATCTATACTGTTTGAAGGTGAATTCTATGCTTTCAAGGTCATAAATAGGTTTATGACTTGGCTAGCCTCTTTGAAAAACGAGGTGCCTGACTGAAAATTTGCCAGGCAGAAATCACATGCTTTCCAGGTCTCAGAGCTGAGAGACAAGCTAGGTTGAGTCTGTTTTCAGAAACATTGAATGCTAGACATGAGGAGGACCTTCCTAAAATCCTGCTGCAACAAGAGGTGCATGAAAGTGGAAACATGCCAGGCAGCTTGTTGAGGTGAAGGCCAAGACTAGGGTAGTGGACCTACCCTGGCACCACTTTGCTAATGGTCCGGCTTGTGGTTGAGCATGTCTATGTTTTCACTACAGGCAGGTCAGCATCTCTGAGAGCCTTTGGTCCTTAGTAGGCACCAATGCGTATTTGATACCCATTTAATATGCAGAAATACACAATACTGGTTTTGCTGTTGCTTCCTATCTTCTCATGCTTACAGGGATCACGTTTTCAGAGCCTGTACCTCCTGAGGCATAACTAGGTGATTGTGACTTAGGAACATGTTGCCAGTCATTGAGATGGGCCTCAACAGAAGGACCCCTGCTCTGAGAAGGAATTTTAGCTGGATTACCAAAGTTGAGATGTTTTGAAATTCTCTTACCACCCGGATGCTAGACCTGTTGTGGGAATCTGGCTAAGCAGCTGCAAGGACAGCTGGAGTTAGAGCAGCTGCCCCTGCCTAGCTGGGCATGGGAGCATTCCTGTTCTTCACAAGGCCAGACTCCCTGTTTGTGGTTGTAAAAGCAAGCATTGACCTAAAAACTGAAATGGAGGAGGATAAAGTCACAAATGCTAAATGGTATAAATGCTTCTGAAATCATTTGATCCTAAAAGAGTCAAAAATAAATTGAAGCATTGAAAAACTCAACTTAAAAAATAACTTTGGCAAGATTACTCTCTGAAAAGGTAGAAATAGAAACATTTTGTCTTATAATGTTGCAGGCTCTGTTCTGAGTACTTTATTCATAGTTATTCCTAAAAACCTTCACAGACAGGAGGAGTAGGTGATGCCCTTTACTGATGAGAGAAAGTATAATAAGGCCAAACAAAGCATCCAGGCATGCTGGGGTGGGTGTGATGCAGCCAGAAGGTGATCCGGTCTATCCAGATGTAGTCGCTACTACTAAGCACTTTGGAAAGGTAACAGTAGAATAAATTAGGAATGTGGAAGTTGAGAAGTTTTTAAAAAAATGATCCACATAGTCAGACATTTATGAGGACCTGATTATGTTTAAATGACATGCAGATTTAAAACTACAAGTTTCTCTTTCGTACCCATCAGATTGGCAAAAACTTTAAAACTTCGTAATAACAAGTGTTTGAGAGGCTGTGGACAAAGGAAGCTTCCATGCTCGGCTGGAGAAAGTGTAAATTGGTACAGTCACTTTGGAGAGCAATCTGACGAGGAAGATGTGCATACCCTACAGCTCACTTCTAGGTCATCCCTCCCAAACTGTCAGATGTGTACCCAAGACGATATTTACAAGCCTTCATGTAGCATTGTCTGTAAGAGTAAAAAGTGGAAAACAGCCTAAATGTCCATCTGTAGGGAACGGATAAATCAATTACGGTATATTCATACAATTGAGTTCTGAATAGCAGTTAACATGAGTTCAATGTTGAGTGAAAAGCAAGTTGCAGAATGATTTGTACAGTGTGATACCATTTATACAATGTTTAAAAACATGCAAAACAATGTGCGTACCCATAACTACTATGGACTATGTATCGAAAGTGTTCTGAAATGCATATGCATGTTTTCCACCAGGCCAGTGGCTATCTCTGGGGAGAGCAGGAGGGAAAGGGTTTGGAGAAGGGAGGGGAGATCCACAGATGTCAACTCCTCCCGAAAGGGGCCGAAGTAAATATGGCAAAATGTTAATACCCTACCGGGTTGGTACATGAGTACTCTCCATGTGTGTATACGGAGTTGGTACACGAGTGCTCTCCATGTGTGTATACGGAGTTGGTACACGAGTGCTCTCCATGTGTGTATACGGAGTTGGTACACGAGTGCTCTCCGCGTGTGTATGATTCTCTGAATCTTTGTATGTACTTGAAATACTTCAAATTGTCATTTAAAATGCACATAAGAGGAGAAAAGTCCCCAGCTACACATCAAGGTTAAAAAAGGACAACATAATCTTGAAAGGAGAGAAGCGTCAGCAGTTTAAGGTCAGCAGCAAAAGGAAGAAAGCCTGAGACGAAGGAAGTACGAGTTGGGGAACAAAGGTGTCATTCTGCTGAAGCAGTCAAGGTGGCCGCTGTGTTATAGTGATCAGAGAAGCTGTTTGTAAGTCATAGAGAGGCCACCTTTGAGGGGATGTCAGTGGGGCCAACAGCCAGTGTAAACCCCTCTGGTCTGCATTTTGTGCTTGGAAAGTACAGCGATGGAGCGGGAGTCACGGGTGGCCAGCTGCGCTACCTCTTGTCTCCCAGTCACTCCTGCTCTCTCCCTTGTCATCCTTCAGCTTAGCCACGTGTGTGGTGACTCCCCTTGGATGAGATTCCTTTCTGGTTTTCCAGAACTGCACTTTTCAGTACAGTTATAACTAGGCCATTAGAGTGATAGTTGTATGTGAAGTAACCAGAAAATTTCAGTCCAGATGTTGGAAAAGGACTCAGACATGCCTGTGATTTAGGTGGTTACAATAGCTTATGTAATGTGAGTAGATTTTTGCCTCCTTGCTGTGTAATTCATTTTTGTGGAACTTTCATGTGGGAAATTTGAGTTCTTCTTGGGGAAAATGTAATTGGAGATGGGGAAAGGGTAGCCTGAGTGTTTTCTAATTTGCTTTGGGAACTCCTGGAAATTTTTAATATTTATGTGTTTCTATGAGAATTTAAATCTCTCACTGCCCCCCACCCTGTGTGTGTGGGTGTGTGTTCGTGTGGTTTAACTTATTCCTCACTCTGCTGTCTTACTTGGATGGTCTATTTTAATTTAGAAGCCCTGAATTTGCTTTTGAAGAGAACACAATCTCCAGCCTTCCTTGGGGCGAACCCCCCTTTTGAAAAGCAAGAGTAAGTGCACACGGTAACTGCAGGAAAGAACCTCTGAGAGCTTCTCTGGAAACTTCCTACTCTTCAGATCTGTGCATTGCGCCGTGTACCTTATGCCAATGAAAGTGCTCCTCTTGAACCAAGTGAATTGCCATTTTTAATAGATCAGAATATAGGCAATTACAGTTGATTCAGTGAAACATGTCGGGCCTTTAAAGTATGATTGGTAAAATGAGGGAAAAGAACTCTCTTGTATGCTTACAAGTAGGTTTAAGAGAGCCAGTAAACAGCATCTCCTTCCTCCAAGTCCAGAATCAGTTAAGAGAGGGAGATGGTATGTAGGTTGCTGTGATCACATAGTTCATCATTGCTGCAGTCACTGGACAGGACCTGGACTCTGATGGCCAGAAGTTCATTATTAATTCACCCATAGTCATAGACAGAACTGGGAAGCCATGACCTGTGAACTTTAGGTCTGGAAGGAAAGACAGTCTGATGTGTTTAAGATCCCAGAATGAGAAGAAAGAGACTAAGATAAAATTAGTAGCCTTAGGGCTGGAGAGATGGCTCAGTGGTTAAGAGCACTGGCTGCTCTTGCAGAGGACCTGGGTTCAATTCCCAGCACCCACATGGCAGCTAACAACCATCTGTAGCTCTGGTTCCAAGGGAATCCAACACCTTTTTCTGACCTTTGTGGATATTGTATGACACAGGTGCACTTACATTCATACAGGCAATACACTCATACACACATAAAAAATATTTACAAAAAAAGATTAGTGCCCTCAGTATCAGATTGGTAACTCTTTAGCCTGTGGAAGAGTTATGGGGGTGGGGGGGAGGGAAGGAAGGTGTCCACAAACGATTAGCAAGTCAGTGGAAAACTGTTGAGGGAGAGGTGGGTAATTTTTTCTAGCATTTTAGTGTGAAGTGTAGCATATATGTGAGGTGGTAGGCTGGGGACTGTCTGGAGAAATAAACATACTTTTCCACATTTACAGTAATATGTTGGAGCACTTGGGCTGGAAGTTTGTTCACTAATCTCTGTATTACCCAGTCCTCAAGAGTTAATAACTGTTGGCATCCAAGTCTTCCCCTTTTCAGAGCTCTTTGTATCACTGCTGCTAAAAGTCAACCCTCACTTGGCTGCAGCGGTTTGGGTGAGCAAGCACATTGGAAACTACTCTGCCCACTTTGCTATAGTTGTAAGATGGGGCCACATGCTGGGGAATTTGAACACTTACTGTTCCTAACATACATGGGTTACCAATGGGTTATTTATAATTTGTGCTGTTTTAACAAGCATTGATATATTATGATCACTTTATAATAATAATCAGCCCTGATGTAACAAGTAATAGGGTTCTAGTTATGGCTGAGGCTAGAAATGAGCAAGATTAGATACGGTCTCTGTGTTCTAGCCAGTGAGCCAGCAGTGTTAAAACCTGGAGGTGTTGCATCTGTGAAACTGATGGTATGACTTGGGGCCTGAATTCAGATTTAGGACTGTAGACATTGTTTAGTAACCAGAGGAGCCATCAGTGGAAGGCTTGGGACAGAAAGGTGGTTGGTGTGAGATGAGAAATGTGAGGTGCTAGAGAGAGTAGGTCTGCGCAGCTTCTAAAGGTGCTCAGGGAAAGACTGGACAGAGACATTCCAGTGAATTAGGGTGTTCGAAGTTTCACATAAATTCTACTGGTTTAAATGGCGAAGAGATCTAACTCATGAGCTCCAGAAGGAGGTGACTCGGGTAAATTTGGTGGCTCAGAAGTGTCATCCAAGACCTGGGTTCTTTCAGCCTGGCTGACATGGTTAGCAGGTTGCTCCTACCCCACCCAGATAATCTTGATGACCGCTGGGGTTCAGCTATCAGACCAGATAGGAACTCCAGCAGACAGCGAGGGTTGGTTTGTTTTAATAGCCCTGTTAAAAGGGTCTTTGCACATACACCGAGAAACAGGTATCTGTGTAGGTTGGATTTCAGGAGTCAGTTTGAAACCAGCATCTGCATCAGCTGCAGTACCCACGTGAAGGTCACAGCCCCTCATCCCCAGGATGGCTTGTCCAGACTTCCAAAGGGTAGTTTCCTGTCTTGATGTAATATAAATGGAGTTGTGTGCTTGTGTTCTGTGTGGGTCTCAGCGTTGTTTTGAGGTCCACATTGCTGCATGCACTCAAAAGTGTTCAACGATTGCATGAGTGTACCACATTTTATCCATTATGTTGATGGGCATTTTGGTAAGTCTCTGGTACGTGGCTTTTACTGGTAATGTTGTTACTTCCATGCCAATTTCTGTGGAGTATACAGCCGAGCGCAGTGGTGGCGGCAGGGCAGTCTGCACTCAGCTCTAGTGCGTCCTGTTTCTAGGTGATTGTACCATTTCTCCATCTGCTGCAGGGCATGAGAATTTCAGCCCGTGTCCTCACCAGCACTTGAATCTTTCATCTTAGACATTTTGGGTGTGGAATGTGTAGGCCTGGGCACCCAGCTGGTGTATGCACTCCTGTAAGTTAAGGGTGCTAGAGTAGTTTTTCACATGCTTCTTGACTGTTTGCATAGTTTCTCTTGTGAAGTGCATGGTGGGTCTTTTGCTATCTTTTTCCTCCTGGGTTGACTGTCTTCGTAGGACATTTTGTTGGTATGGGTGCAGGTCACTAGTGAGACATGTATTGCAGATACTTTCTCAGTGTGTGTGGCTGGCCTCTTCAGTGCTTGTTTTCACCAAAAGCTGCTAGTGTAAGGATGGTGAGATGGCTCAGCAGGTAAAAGTACCTGCCACCAAGCCTGAGTTCAGTTCCTGGGTCCCATATTGGTGGAAGAGGCAAACTGGCTTCCACAAGTTGTCCTCTGACCTCTGCATGTGCCCTCCCCTCAACACACAAATGTAAATCATTTTTTTAAGCTACTAATTCTAATACAATACAGCTTATCAGTGTTTTCCTTGTGTTATTCACAGCCTTTGCTTGAAGTGTTCTTTCTGTTTTCTTATCTAGGTTTGGTGTCTTCCTCTGAAAGTTTAACTTTGCTTCTTACTTAGATCTGTAGGTCTTTTGGAATTGGTTTTGTGTTTAGTGTGAGGAAGGGTTTAACATTCACAGTATGTAAGTGTTAATACCCTTTATTTTAAAAACATCTTTTCTCCACTGTAATGTTACTATGCCGCAAGTCAAGAGTACATGCAGAATCTCCTTGCTGGTTTCTCTATCCTTTTCTGTTGCTCAAGTTGTCTCCTCTTTAAGGGTTTTTTAGTTGTTTTTGAACATTTTGGCACATGCCTTTGCTGCGTATTGATGTCTGATGGTATACTTTACCTCATTTCATTCTTTGTAATCATGTTCTGAGTACAATGAATTGACGTGTGTAAATACGAGGTGATGAACCAGTGAGTTCACACTAGACATTTAACTGGGGTAATGAAAGACAAAGTAGGTAAGTCCGTGAGTTCCAAGTCCGTGAGTGGGAGCCCTGAGAAGACAGAAGCCTTAAGCCAGTGAAGAGGCGTGAGGCTGAGGAAAGAGGAGGGTGCTGAGCTAGTGCTAAGACTTGAAACATTTTTGAGTGGTGCTAAGTTCCGACAGGTGTGGTGCGTGAGGCTCTGAACCCATGGTGTTGCGGGGGTTGGGGGCGTAATTGAAGACAGAGCTGTCAAGAAATGAGGAGACTACAGTATGGATCTTTTAGTATCCAGCAGTTTACAGAGTTCATTTCCTCAACACACTTTTCTAATTTAGTGTCTACCTGAACAGCAGCAAGAACAGAATTGTCATCCTCACTCTCCAGATGAGAAGGTGGGCCCCGGGGCCATCAGGAGAACTAGAGTTGGACTTGTCCCAGCATCTGTGCTCTGTGTATAGCTTAGCCAGTGTGTTGTAGGAAGACTTGGGAGTTACATTTTTGGAAATCAAGTGTTGTTAAAAGACAAGTAGTGTAGAAAATCATATCAAAAATAAGTTAAGCATGAACATTGATACATACAGGAATTCCTCCAGGAATACCATGCATTGTCATCCTGAGTAGTCCGACTGGGACTCTGAGGTCCCTTTCCCATTCTTCTGCTTTTCAGTATCTTCCAAATTTCCTATAATGGACGTATATTATTCAGGCTTCTAAAAATTACTTGTGGGCTAGATTATATATGTGAAACATTCACAGCGTACTAATAGATATATGGTGTACAGGACTTTACAGTGAAAGAACGGAAATGTATAAAGATTTTATGTCTTGTTCTTCTTTTTAGAAATGCGCTTGGTGATGGAAAGAGAGCCATTGTTCTGAAGAACACCTGGTCCAAGGTAGGCTTCTGTATCTTGCACTGAGTACGGGAACCATACAGTTATGTGACAGCCTATGGGCTGGGCTGTGTATTTGTCGGTAGGCATGTAGGTGCGTTGGGAAATGGGAACTTGAGGTCCAGTCTCTGCACAGGCACTCAGGTGTGCTAGGCAGTGAGCGATAGACCACATCCTAGCATCCTAGCATGCAGGAAGCCATGGATTTAATGGAAGAAGCAGGGAGGACGAAGGTTGTGGGAGGAAGGGGGGCAGAGAATGAAAGGGAAGGGAAGGAAGACAGGAGGGGAGAACAAAGGGAGAGTCCTCTCCTACCTCAAAACTAAGGAGAGCCTAAAGTGTTCCCAATTTTTTAATTCCTCTTTCCCTCACATTTAGCACATCCATCCGTGTGTGCAGACGTGTGTACATCCATCCATGTGCATGTGTGTGTGCCTCCATCCGTGTGTGCAGATGTGTGTGCATCCATCCATGTGCATGTGTGTGTGCCTCCATCCGTGTGTGCAGATGTGTGTGCATCCATCCATGTGCATGTGTGTGTGCCTCCATCCGTGTGTGCAGATGTGTGTGCATATGTGTGTGCAGGCGTGTGTGTGCATCCATCCGTGTGTACAGACGTGTGTGCATCCATCTGTGTGTACAGACGTGTGTGCATCCATCTGTGCCTCCATCCATGTGTGCAGGCGTGTGTGTGCCTCCATCCGTGTATGCAGACGTGTGTGCATCCATCCGTGTATGCAGACGTGTGTGCATCCATCCGTGTGTGCAGGCATGTGTGTGCCTCCATCCGTGTGTGCATCCATCCGTGTGTGCAGACATGTGTGTGCCTCCATCCGTGTGTACAGACGTGTGTGTGCCTCCATCCATGTGTGCAGGCGTGTGTGTGCCTCCATCCGTGTGTGCATCCATCCGTGTGTGCAGGCATGTGTGTGCCTCCATCCGTGTATGCAGACGTGTGTGTGCCTCCATCCATGTGTGCAGGCATGTGTGTGCCTCCATCTGTGTGTGCATCCATCCGTGTGTGCAGGCATGTGTGCCTCCATCCGTGTGTGCAGACGTGTGTGCATCCATCCGTGTGTGCAGACGTGTGTGCATCCATCCGTGTGTACAGACGTGTGTGTGCCTCCATCCGTGTGTGCAGGCATGTGTGTGCCTCCATCCGTGTGTGCAGACGTGTGTGCATCCATCCGTGTGTGCAGACGTGTGTGCATCCATCCGTGTGTACAGACGTGTGTGTGCCTCCATCCGTGTGTGCATCCGTGTGTGCAGACGTGTGTACATCCATCCGTGTGTGCAGATGTGTGTGCATCCATCCGTGTGTACAGATGTGTGTGTGCCTCCATCCATGTGTGCAGACGTGTGTGTGCCTCCATCCATGTGTGCAGACATGTGTGCATCCATCCATGTGTACAGACGTGTGTGTGCCTCCATCCGTGTGTGCAGACGTGCCCTCTCGGTTGCTCTCCACCCCTAGCCCCAGGATTGCAGAATACACAGTACGTTCAACAGTGAAAACACTCCACTCCATATAACTAACTACATCAAACTTAAAAACATCTACATGTCAGGACATGAAAGAAAGAAGGGGCTACAAGGATTTGTATGACTAATCGTAGGTTCCCTAAAGTGAGTAAAAACATGGTAAAACAGATAAGGATTTCACAGAAGAGAAATCCCAAATGGCCCATGGAAATGAGCAGGTAGGGGCTGGAGAGCTGGCTCAGCAGTTGAGTGATGCTCTGTAGAAGACCAGGGTTCAGTTCCCAGCACCCATGTTCAGATGGCTCCCAGCAGCTTGTAATCCAGCTCCAGGGGAGCCAACACCCTCTTCTGCCCTCCACAGGCACCTGCGTGTACCTCTACCAATATACAGACACAAACAGAAAAAATTTTCAAAAAGAACCTATGCTCTGTTTCTAGTAATACAAGTTGCAGGGATCGGTACAAAGGTAGAAAAATGAAACCAATGACCAAAATAAAAGACTCCAAGCACAGCCCCTCATAGCCACAAGTAAGGATGATGCTTACTGAGTTCTTCAGACGGGCAAAATGGCAGAGATGGAGGTCCTGAGTGCCAGGCTCATTGGGTAGTAAGACGGACTCTCAGTAAACTGGTAGGAGTGTGAATTGGCTTGTAACTTAACTTGGAAAACAGTATGATGTACTTACCCCATAATCACTTGATTCTCTGTGTGTGCCCTTGAAAATTACTTGATCATATGTGTATGTACTCGAACAGCTAGTTGATTTCATGTGTGTGCATCCTAGAAAAAATCCATGTACATATAGTGAAATGTGCATAGTTAGTCATTCAAACATTTTAATTTTAAATTGAGGAATCAATTTTTTATGGTAGTGGGTCTTGAACCTGGGACCTTCCACATGTTGGCAAACACACTGAACTCTGTCCCTAGCTTTCTTTTTGCTTTTGTTTTTTTGAAACGGGGTCTCAGTAACTTGCCCCCAGGTGGCCTTGAACTCATTTTGTGGTCCAGGGAGAGCCTTGAACTAGCAATTCTCCTGCCTTCCTCCCAAGTAGCTGAAATTGTTGGCCTGAGTCAGCAGGCTGGGCGTCCAGCACTGTTCAGTCACAGTTAATATCCACGGAGGCAGCAGTGAATGAATGTGGAACTTTGACTTGATCAGAGTGATGACTGATTTTTCTGATCTGTCTGCTTCTTGAACACCCTGACTTCTCCAGCCTCTGAGCACACCCCTGACCGGCTCTGTCATCCCCGCAGACTCCTCACTGTTCTTAGACATGCAGGGCCCATTTCACTTGTGTCTGTTCTTCCCTCTTTGAATGCTTTTCCTCGGCACTGGCTAGCATTTGTCTCAGTGAGGCTTTGCCCGGTCACATTATTGAGATGCTAAGCCTACCCTCTTCTCCTACTTTATTTTTTCCCTTCCTGTACTTAGCCTAGTTTTGAGCATGCCATGTATACCATAGCACACTGTTACGCTGTTTATTGTACCTTCCCATATAGTGTGGCTCCACACTCTTAAAAAAGCTACTAGTAACTACAGTTGGAGAGGATCAGTACAAAGAGAAAGATCAGACCAGCAGAGTAGAGAGCTTCAAGAACACGGACCTACATAGTCTCAAGAAACTCTAATGATGGAGCAGGCACTGAGTAGTCTTTGTTGACTTGGTGAATGAATAATCAAACATTAGGTTGCATTTGAATGGAGTTGACTGGCTTATCAACATTAATAGACTACAGAACAGTGTTAAACGAAAAGAATCCGTAAAAGCACAACATAAGCTGGCCGATACCAACCAGATTCTTGATAGTGTTTGTTTCTGGGTAGGAAAGGGGAAGGAATGAGCACGGTTACCAAGGACATTACAGCTACATCCATAGATTCATTTCTTCTATTAAAGTAGAATCTGGAACTCATATAGCAAAGCGTAGATCATGGTGTTTGTTGCACTAGTCTCTATTTTCTTAAATTGTAAAATTATCCAACTTTTTTTTTTTTTTTTTTTGTCTTCTTGAGACAGGGTCTCCTTGTAGCCCCAGCTGTCCTGGAGTGGAACTCACTATGTAGACCAGGCTGGCCTCGAACTCACAGAGATCTGCCTGCCTTTGCCTCCCGAGTGCTGGGATTAAAGGTGTGCACTAGCACGCCCGGCTAAAATTACCCAAGTTTTAAAAAATATGTAGTCTCAGGGTCGGCAAAATGGCTCATCAGTTAAAGGTGCTTGCTGTACGAGCCTGATTACCCCCGAGCTTTGGTGGAAGGGGAGAACTGACTCCTGAAAGTTGTCCTTTGATCTCCACATGTGCACTGTAGCCCCCGTGCACCTGCATGCACTCTCTGTCTTCCTCTGTATCTCTGTCTCTCACTAATAGTAAATAAAATAGAGGTTCAAATAAGACTGAGATTTGGGACGAGAGTCGGTGCTAGAGGTGTTTGTGTTTGAGGTGCTCAGTGTGTTGCTGCTTTGATTGGGAGTCATGCTTTCACTTGAAACAGCCTTCGCTGATTACAAAAACTGGCACCTGGCAGGTATTCTGTAAATACTTGAATGAGTGAATGATAGAAATCTTAATGTCTAAACCCAGATCTCAATGCTGGTTTTCTAAAAATCTCTTGTAAATTTTTTAGAAGGAATATTAAAGGTTCAAAATTTTTACTCACTGAGTCAAAGCTTTTCTAAGTACTTGATGCCTCCTCATGGATGGAGTCCTAAGAAGGACCTTCAGGAGTTTTCTCTAGGCAACTTTCTCCTCTCTGGTCTCCTGGCCTGTGAACTCAAGGTGTCCTGGGCCTCTACTGTGTTCCAGCCTGTGTCTGCTCTGATTCTCCTTCTCGTGCTGAGGATTAAACACTCTTCAGTAAGCTGCAGCAGTCTTAGGCTCTATGTGTCCCTTTTCTCTTGTGGAACATTGTTTTATTATCCAAAGCCAAGTGTTTTGCAAGCCATGATTTTATTGTTTTGCTTTTTTTTGTTTTAAGTGGAGGGTAAATCTAGTCTTTGTTACTCCATCTCTGCTACAACTGTAAATTAGAGCATAGGCTCCTTTATTCTAAAGGCTTTTTACCAATGAGAGCCCAGGAGAAAGAGAACTTCCCTCAGTATCTATATAGTAAACCCGAGGGATGCCAAGGCGATACTGACTGGGTCAGGCACCTACCTGTAGTTTAGTTGTGGTGGCCTGAGAATTGGCCAGCCCCTTGGGTCACAAACATGCTTTCACTCAACTGCATTGGTGGGTAGAGCACTAGAATGCACAGTCCTGCCATGACACAAGAGTTAGAGATGGCAGCCTCTAGTTGAATGGATGGGAAATGGGCAAGCAATGTGGAATTTCTTCCTAATGTGTTGGATAATGAGAGCATCAAAGAGGGAGCAGGACTTGGTGATGGGCTTCAAGAAAGAGATAATGGTCTGGAGAGATGGCTCAGTGGTTAAGAGCACTGGCTGCTCCTGCAGAAGACCTGGGTTCAATTCCCAGCATCCACATTGTGACTAGCAAATTAGTTCCAGGAGATCTGAAGCTCTCTTCTGACCTTTGCAGGCATTGCACGACATGGGTGCACTTACAAACATGTAGGCAAGATACTCATATAATAAAATAAAAATAATAAAAATAAAAATTTTTTAAAAAGATGATTATTCACTTAAATTTCATTCAGACACAGCAAAAATCAGATCTGAGTAAACCCTTCTCAACCTGTAGAAATTATACTGAATTTTGTAGGATTTAGGGAAAAGTAGAAGGTATGGGTGAGTGTGGGGGATGGGATGAAAAATGTTCACCTTAAATTTAGCAGATACAGTTTGTGACCCATTGTTTCCTCTGGTAGGTGTGTTTTCCTTTTTGAAGCAGTTATTAAACTTTAAAGTTAACAATGTCTAGGGGTAGGATTTTGACCTTGCAGCACATCAAGGGATCTCTGTCTTCTTAGGCCTCAGGTGTCAAGACATAGGGGATCTACCCAGGGGAGGAAGCAGTGTTTAATGACATGCCATCTGGATTGGCATCTCCATAAAACATCTCTAGAGCTCACGGACAGGTTACAGGAATGTAGCACAGAGCCTGCTTAGACACATGCCCCCTAGCTCTAAATTAATGAAAAGCTGAGTCTTTTTGGAAGGGATGCTTATTTTTTCACTTTGTGTTTTCTTTATTCCCATTGATTCAGAATGTTCTTTGTAAAATAAATATTGTATGAAGAACTCTGGAGCAGTTGTCTCATAAAATCACAGGTCTTTGGTTTCCGGTATGACGAGAGAGTAGACTCTAGCCTCTTAGCTGATAAATCATTTTTCTGGTGGAAGATTTGTGCCTAAAATTGCTGTACAGTTGGAGTAGCTCGAAGAGTGGCATCAAGGAATGGAAGGACTACGAATACTTCCTTTAATTTTCCTACTGAGTTTCCTCACCCTAGGTTTGATAATGCTAAAAAAGTTCATGTTTGATACAGATTTCCCAAATGTTGAAACTAACAAGGATTTTTGGTTCTGTAAGATAAAAGTCTTATCATTGGGATTAAATCAGTGATTTTTAGACTTTCTTAAACCTGGAAACTATACATAGAGGTAAAATGAACATTGGTTGACCAGGAGAGAAGTGGTGGGAAGAGCTAACCCAAAGCAACCCTACCTGTGTCTTGCTCCGGGAAGTGGGGATTGCTGCTGCACTTGCCACCGGCTCCTGCCAGCTCCAAGAAGCCTTTGGGTTTCCAGTGTAGGGAATGTCATGACAGATTATTGTCAAGTATTTTGAAAAAATTAAGTTACTTATTTATAATTAATGACCTACCCTTTATTTAGCATAAAATACTGTATTTCATTCCTTATTAATAAAACACAATGAAAGTTAGATTCTTTTCTGGGGTTCAAAAAATCTCTTAAAGTATTCTAGTTATTAAAAATATTTGCTTATTAATAACTTTTCACTTAGTTTATTCTCTAACTTATTTCCTGGGATACTAACATTTTTTTTTTATTGATAGGCCTGACCTAACATTTTTAATTAATCTGTTACAACCAAAATATTTTTCCTATCTTCTTTAACTTAAGCATACTTTTGAGAAAAAAAATTGAATTTATCTTTCTGAAACAGGGTCATTATCGTTATTGTGATGCACTTTCTATGCTGGGGGAACATGACTGGGCCCTGCAAGCAAACATAAAAGCTCAAAAACTCTGTAAAAATGACCCTGAGGGAATCAAGGATCTTATTCAGCAGCATATAAAGTTACAAAAACAAATAGAAGACCTACAAGGTATTTCACCTAAGATTCTTCTGGTTACAACCGAATTCCCTTTAAATCTTTTGAAAGTGGATTTCTTGGATTAATGGAAGACCATGTCGATTCTCAAATGGTTTGTACTTCTGTTATGTTACTTTGGTGAAGTCACTTGAGTTTTCCATTTCTGTCTGTAGAATTATGTGTTATATTCAGGCAGTCGTGATTTACTTTATTTATTTAAAACACTGTAACCACGTTTTACTTATTCTGTAGAAAAATACCCTTTCCAAAGCTTTCTGATAGCCTTTAAAAAGAAATTTGTTTTATTTTTTTTCTCCATTATTAATTGCCAACAAAAGGCCCTCAGCAGAGTTGCTTTATTGTGTTTGCACCGACTTCACAGCTGATGCTGTAGCGTGCGGAGCAAGCTGCCTGTGTGCCTGCCGTCTGTCTTCCAGCTGTCCGGAGACTGACTGCGCAGACTAGCGTGGGTTTCCGTTTGCAGTTCCTTGTTCTCCCTTGTTTTCTCGTGTTTCTTTCCCCGGAACACGTAAATGTCCTTCTCTGCTTTTCCAGCATGCAGCTCTTTTCTTCTGTTAATTTTTCCTTTGAGTATTTAGTCTGTAGAGCTGAGCTGAGTATGTCTGTTTATCCAGAATTGATTCTAAGATTGTGAGCTCTTTGAAGACAGGGACTGTTGGATTCGAATTCAGTGATCACGTGTGAGGGACTGTCGGATTTGAATTCAGTGATCACATGTAGGGGACTGTGACAGGGCTGGTAGCAATTTGTTGACATCTTCTTGAAAAACATCCAGAATTATAAAATTTATTTTTCAGCTTTCAAATTTTAATGTTTTTCACTATCAGCTTAAAGGAAATTTGAAACTATTTTAAGATATATGATGCCAGCCTTTTGATTACTATGTGTGTGTGATTGACTCTTATAGGTCGGACATCAAATAAGAATCCAATTAAAGCCTTTTATGAAAGCAGGTGAGTTAGTATCAAGTCAGTTAGCTGCTACTGAGAAGACTTTGTCCTACGAATGAAAGAATCACCTGTTTGTCATTTTTAAAAGCTAATAGCTGGGACTTGGACCTAGGGCCTTATGAATGCTAAGCATTCATTCTATCCCTGAACTCTATCCGTAGCCCTATAATAGCAATCTTTAGTTCAGATGGAAGAGAGTATGGTTTTTGTTTTGTTGGGGGGTGTGGGTGTGGGTGTGTGTTTCTAACATCAGGTGACTTGAGAGTTGCCAGATTTGTTTTGCTATCTTACTGAACCATTTAGACATAGGTATCTCTCTGTATATATTAATTTTGAGATTACTAGCCTACATCTGTGGGAAAGGAGGATGAAATGGGCCTATTGCCCTTCACTCCTCTCCTTGAAGCTTGGCTTCCAGCTTCCTAGTGTCTTTGAAAGGCTACAGGATAGACTTGAATATGACTACAGGTAAAGAATAGTAGCCAGGTGTCCACGTTTGCTCATTTGGCAGTTAAAAGAGACTCATTTTTGTCCCAAAGCTTGTTTAGATGCTTAGGATACTGAGACTGTTGAACATAAAACAGGAAATTTTGTTACTTTAATATTAGAACCCAAAATGCTTGTCTTAAACTGTTCTCAATTTAAATTTAATACCAATTTAAAGTACCGTGGGTACATAAAGCCCTATCTCAGCAGTAGAGAATCTTCAGCACAGTTAATACCTTGCTTTCAAGGAGGAAAGGCTATGGTTTCTGCAGTTCATTTGAAGAATAACTTTAGAATTTATTTGTTTTTATTTTATGTGTGTGCATGTTTTGCCTGCATGTCTGTAAGTGCACCATGTGTGCAGTGCCACAGAGGCTTGAAGATCCCCTGGAACTGGAGTTGGGGACTGCTCTAGCAGAGGACCTGGGTTCAGTTCCCAGCATCCACATGGCTGTTGACAGGTCTTCAAAAGCAGCCAGTGCTCTTAACCACTGAGCCATATCTCCAGCTCCTGAAGAATAAATTCTTTGGAAGGTTTTTTTGTTTTGTTTTGTTTTGTTTTCTGTGTGTGTGTGTGCGTGTGCGTGTGCGTGTTTGTGTGTGTGTGTTTGAGACAGGTTCTCCTGTAGCCACAGCTGGCCTGGAGCTCACTATGTAGACTAGGCTGGCCTTGAACTCACAGAGATCTGCCTGCCTCTGCTTCCCAAGTGTTGGGATTAAAGGTATGTCCCACCAAGCCAGGCCTTGAAGAATAACTTTTTAAGATGCATGCCAGTGGGAGAACTAGCCT